GGCAAAAACGCATATTGTCGAGAGGCTGCTATAGCGCTGCACAGCAAAAACGCATAAAAAAGGCTTACTGCAGAAGAAACTGCAAAATACTAACCAAACAGAATTGAAGAAACAATGCACCGAATCAGTAGTTTATGCTTTTAAAATAGTCGGCAAGAGCTCCAGTGGTTTTGCTGCACTGCTCCGGTTGCACTCCACCTTCGTAGATTGAGATTATCACCGCTGAAAAATACTTCAAGCTGAGTGCTGGTCATTTATCGATATGAATGGTTATCATGATTCCATATCGTTACTATGATTATACAAAATAATTAGGTGTTTAGCCCAATAACTGCGGGAGTGGGGAGGAGGTTAAGTGGTATCATCTAGAAACGTGTACTTCAGGATAAAGAGCCTTGTATTATGCCTTCTCGTGCAGACATATTTCAGTAACACTAATAGATGGAAGCTTCAAACCGATACCCGAGCAGAGCTAGTGTTAACATTTTCGATACAGCTATTAACAGCTTATGGATGCTTTCCAGTAACATCTCTAACAATGAATCCTCACCCCGATTGGTCGAGCGGTCTTGCAAATGTCTAAGTATGCATGCAATCTTAACTAAAGTGTTGCTGTTCACAAACGGAGTGGATGTTGCTGTCAGGGTAACTGAATGGTATTTGTGCGATGTTAAAAGAATGCAAGTGAAACCGTCATTGTGGTGAAAAGATCTAGTCAAACCACAGTAAAGAAACACGCAGATGAGAGGAGCTCAAAATAGAGAAGAATAGAGAAGTTGTCAACTACAACAAAGGACAGGGGAATTGACGACGAAATAACAGCTTGTATAAATGTCAATCAATTATGAACCTCCCAGCCTGACCGTCCGTAAATAAACGGAAAATAACCTTGCCCAGTTTTGTAAATGAAGAAGCCGGTTGATCCTTTCTTGCCAATAATTCTTTCGTCGTCGGCTTGCAGCACGAAATATTTTTCGCCTTCGAATTTCATACCCGTGCCTAGTAAAGAATCTTTGTTTTGGAATCCTTTTCCTGCTGCTACCGCTTCCGCTGAATCCAACTGCAATCACTTTATTTTATAAAAAAAATTTCTTTTATTAAGAAAATTTCAGCACAGAGCTGCTAAGTTGATAACCATTACAGGATAACCACTACTGGCGATAGGTGGGGAAACAGCTTTCCAGGTATTCCAGATGTAACAAGAACTATCGGGCAGCGTGTGAATGCATATGTATATGTATGTGTGTGTTCGTACAAGTGTGTGTGTGTGTTTGTGTGTTCGTACGTGTGTGTGCATGTGTGTCTTTGTGTACGTGAAGAGAAAAACCTTTCAAAGTGTTTGCGCGAAACCACACTATTTTCTGGATTTCTCGATTTAATTTGTTTTTTTCAGTCGTTGAGCTGCTTCTGTCGGTGTTGCAGATGGACTCAAAAACGGAACTGTGATTCATCAACTGTTTTTGTCACTATCGATTTTGGAACCCAGACATATTAACGTGTTTTCGTTTGAGACGATTACG